GTAAATGATACAGAGAGTGTTTGGATTGCAATGCTAGAAATTCCTCTATTGAATAGAAGCTATTTTCCAGAAGGTATTTTTTGTTACATTTTTAAAGGTGTTATAGCTATTGATATCCTTCACCTATATATTTTGGCAAGTTGTTATAAAGAAATATGCATTTATAAAATGTAGACTTTTTAAATGTTGCATTTTTATGGGTAGTTATGATGACTTCCTAACATGTTAAAGTCGGACGCACAGAAATGTTGCTTTTCAAAAAAGTTACACATTTTAAAATGAAAATAGAATGGAAGGACAGAATAGAGTGTTGTTTGAAGACAGTCTTACATGACTCCCAGTATTCCAAATTAAATAATATACTAATTATTCTTTTTTGAGTGAAAACTCTTTTACATTCAGTAGTCAGTCCCCATGTTGCAATATTATTTGATATATCTATATGCATGGTATAAATTCAACAATTCCTTTTGGTCCAAAATTGGTTTCATCTGAAGAACTGTATAGTATGCTTTATTGAGTTGTTTACAAACAAAGTCTATGTGGAAGGAGAAACTAAGGTCTGAGTTAAGCCATGTCCGGAGTAACTTGATGCTGTCACTGAATATTAGTTTTTTATAAAATGTTTTTGTAACTGGCTTTCTCATATGGAAATTTATGCAGGTTGTTTTATCAGTATTTAAAATGAGTCGATTTTTTTGACACCATTGTTTCATTTCATTGAGAGTTTTTTCTATATTACTGTGCAATTCTTCAAGGGTTTCTCCACAGGCTGTAACTGTTGTGTCATCGGCAAACATTGTTACTTGTCCCGCGGTAATATTGTTGGGAATATCGTTTACAAATAGGTGAAAATTAAGGGTCCCAAGACAAATCTTCGAGGAACACCAAGAGAAATAGTGCGTACATTCGATAGTTGTTCTACTTTGATGAGAATACTTCTGTGAGAAAGATAGACTCAAACCTTCTTAACCTTCTCTAATTTGAATTTTATGTTTTAGCATTAAAAAGCTTTTGAGAAATCGAACATAAGAAACACAACATATTTTCCTCTATCTCAGGAAATGTAAACATAATTCTGTAAATGGTATGTGGCTGATTCCGTTGATTTATTTTTCCTAAAACCATGTTGAGGAAGCGTTCACAGATCATAGCGTTCTACAAAACTGATAACTACTTTGTACACACAATGTTCAAGCACCTTTGAAAATTCTGTGAAAAGAGGTATTCGGCGGTAGTTATCTATTGTTTATTTGTCACCTTTTTTGTGTAGGGGAAATACTAGCGAAATTTTCATCAAGTTAGGAAATTCTCCTTCGGCCAGAGATGAATTGATTACTTTTTTTGTAATCTTTTTTTTTGTTGGGTTGCATGGTGCTCTTCGTCTGGGAGCTTATGGGTCATAAATTAGGAGGGAACTTTTAAATATTGATATTGACATGGGCGCCACCGGATTTTGTTATTATGTTATTTAGAATTATGTCAAATACGGAAAACATAATTTGACTGAATAGTTATAAGACAAATATCTTCAAATACTACGTAGAATATTATTCCAACCTTGTTGAGAAATGAAAAATACCTACAGATAAAAAAATTCAATTATTTGACCATTCGAATAAAAATGTAGATGAAAAACGAATTTTCGGTGTGGTATTCTATGTTTAAATTAGCATGTGCATAGTATTGTGTTCAGCCTAACAAAATTTGTCAAGATATTTTTTCTTTGTTACCGTGAAACGAAAGTTTCATAATAATAGTAATAATAATAATTGTAATTTTGCCTGGTTTGGTGATCCAAACAGGTGCACTCACCAAACATTAGTTATCCATGTCAAAAAAACGTTTAAAATATATGTGTCAAACAACATAAGTTCAAACGAAAATGAGGACTAACCAAATGAAAACACATACACCACAGACACATTAAAAATGAAAACGATATCAACTGATTAGGAATGGACGTTTTTGTTTGCCTTTTAAAAAAAAAAATTAATTATAAACAATAGAAGGATATCAAACTACACAGGATGGTGGAAACTTATGTGTATTCAAATTACGATTTAGTAAATTAAAATAAGCACTATTCAGTCCTTCCATGTCCCTTCTAGTGTTAACACTTTTTTGTTTGAAAATGTGAATCATCTCACTAAACAGTCGTTCTAATAAAGGTTGAATATCTAAAATCTTGTGGTTTGCAAAGTCAAAACTGTGATTGTTTTCTTTTTAAATCTGGTTAGGTGTTCTCAATATCTTAGTGTCTAAGAAGGCTAGAGAATTGTCTTTTTCCAATTCTGCTGTGAATTTCAAATTTGGGTGGAAGCTTTGAAAAACATCAATAATTTCGATTTTTTTATTCATGGGTATTGAAGTGAAAATGTCATCAACATATCTTTTGAAAAACGGAACTGAAAAAGACAATTGTTCTAGACTACGTTGTTGAAATTCAGACATCACTAGATCTGCAAATATAGGTGACATACAGTTTCCCATTCCTAGTCCGGATATTTGTTTATAAAAAACTCCTTCGTAGTTAAAATAGTTCGACTTAATGCAAAATTCAAATACTTTTATAAATTTATTTAGAGGTAAACTAGTGAATTCTGAGATTTGGGGCCATCTTTTAGGTAAACGACTGTTTAGTGAGATGATCCACATTTTCAAACAAAAAAGTGTTAACACTAGAAGGGACATAGAAGGACTGAATAGTGCTTATTTAATTTACTAAATCGTATCATTTAATATTTTAATACGCATAGGTTTCCACCATCCTGTGTAATTTGATATCCTTCTATTGTTTATATTTTTTTAAGGCGAACAAAAACGTCCATTCCTAATCAGTTTGTCTCCCTTGATATTGTTCTCATTTTTAATGTGTCTTGTGGTGTATGTGTTTTCATTTGGTTAGTCATCATTTTCATTTGTACCTATGTTGTCTGACACATATATTTTAAACGTTTTTTTGACATGGATAACTAATGTTTGGTAAGTACACCTGCACGCCCGAAACGTTGACATAAAACCAAATTGTTTATCTACGAACATTTTTGATCCCTTTCCCAACCAATAGAAAAAACCGCATTTGATAATTGTAATTTATTGAACAAAATTACAATTTGGCTCAACTGGCTATCGATCGAAGTCCTTCCGCCCGTGGAACGAAATTGCTTTTAAATAACATAGCTTATTTTACAATATAAAAAAATTTTTATGGATATAAAAATGAATAAACAAAACAATTTCCTTAATAAAGTTGTGTTAGTTTTTCTAACAGTATTTCTGTTGAGTGTCGATGTCACACTCTTGCAGGGGGGTTTCTTGTCACAGCATACTTTCTAATGATTTCTACATTGTCGTCTTTTCTAGCAAACTTCTCGAGTAAGTGAATAGGGATAAATTATCAAAATTAAATTTTGTGGAATGGGATCTCATCTTAAAATACTTACTAGCAGTGTGATCAATAGTTATCAAGGAACATTTATAATAAACCAAGAATAAACGTGTTACTAATATCAAAAAAAATTTTGAAAGTCTGGAATTTATATCCCACGGAGGTTGAAATGTTTGAATGATGAACTTCTCGTAAAATGTGTCCCTTCAGATTATATTCTTCAGATCTCTGTTTGGAAAAATTGGTCTGCAGAGACACAACCACACATATTTCATGAAAATGATATAAGTTTTTCTAGTAGAGTCCGCAAAAGGAACCCTACGAAAGGTATACGCTTAAATATTCACATTATTAGAAGATGGGCCGACTTTTGTGTACCGATGCGAACTAAAAATCTCATCAGTGTAGGAACCTTAACTGGATTGAGCGAAATGCATAGATTGAAAGAGATCTATTTTGATTTGTGTTTTTATCATATCAGACGTATATACAGTGTACATCTATGTTGTCAAGGTTTCCCTAATCCGTGGTCAAGCAAGAAAATAAAACGCTACATTGTTAGAGGGAAAATATTATAGTTATGCATAATTTTCGGCAGCTTCGGTGACAATTCATCAATCCCAGAGCATGCTTTATTTTTTAGTGATATGATGATGTTTGATATATCAGTCTCTGTTAGATAGGAGACAAATGTACTGTTTGGAGAACGAATACAAACTGTACACGTGATTGAAGAGTTATCGCCGAAAAGGGAATCTGTTTTACTTTTGCACATATTCGAAAAATAATCTGCAAATTTATCAGCTACTTCTTTTTTATTTATTATCAAACGTTCATCACATTTCAGAATAATTATTTCTTTATCTTTATTTCTATTTGAGTTTTCATTGATACTATCCATGTTTCTTTGAGTTTTCATTGATACTATCCATGTTTCTTTGATTATATTTGGAGCTCTTATGGCTGTTTTCTGGAAAATAAATATCGACTGAGTGTAGCAAGAGTGGCCCCAAATAATTAGACCGTAAGTCATAATACAGTGAAAGTAAGCAGAGATGGCTGCCTCCAAGTTCACTAGCAATTTCATCCGTCTAATTGCAAATATTGCTTTTGATAACTTGCTTGTTAATTGATCTACATGAAGTTTCTTCCAATTTAAATTGGGATCGATAATAATATGTCTTAGAAATTTTACGCTCTGAGTGGCAGTATTCTTGGTATTGAAAACAAGTGTCTGAGTTTTGCGTGTGTTTAAACTTAGTTTGTTTGCTGTGAACCACTCGGTAGCTTGATTGATGTTTGATCCTATCATTTCATCGATTCTTGTAGAATTATTTTCGATTCTGGTTGCGAAAGTAGCATCATCAACAAACAAGGTTGTTAATGCGTTTATGTTTTTGGGTAGGTCATTTATATAAATCAAAAACAGTAGCGGTCCTAAAACGCTGCCTTGTGGGGCACCTTTATGTAAACATTATAAAAAATTTCAACTTGAAATATCACACCATCTTAATGGTTATTTCTAATAATATCGTGAGCTTTTTTTATTATATTGTATACTCTTGATTGCCAAAGTTTCTTTGAGAGTGATGTGTTATATATTTTTCAGCTACTTCGATAACCAAAGAAAGTGCAGAACTCAAAGCCGAACCTGCCAAACCAAGAACTCGAAGGTCATCTGCATCTACTGAACCCGCAGTACCAGAAGGAGAAAAGAAACAGCCAATAACAAGGAGAAGGTCATCAGCTACGGAAGAAACATCTCAGAAAGGGAATGAACCAGTTAAAGGCCGACGAACTTCAATCACATCAAAAAATGCAGAAGTTTCTGAAAAACCTGCTGGTTCTAGTGAGGAAGAAGGAAAGTCAAGACCTGTTACACGACGCAGCTCGATTTCAAAGGAATTATCGGAAGAAACAGAAGGAACAAAACCTTTAACGAGAAGCCGTCGAAAGTCGATTGATATAGAGGTTGAGGTATTAGAGAAGAAACCAACAAGGCAAAGAAGGGCTTCAACTGAGAAGCCAGAAGAACCTGAACAGAAAGTATCTAAGCACACGCCTGTCAAAAATAGAAGGAGGCCCTCTATCACCGACAATGCAGCTGTATTGGAACCCATCGAAGAGAAAGAAGGAGAAAGAAAAAGTCTTTCACCGATACCAGCAAATGACAAAACTCATCATAGTTTGACTCCAGTTAAAAAAAAGCATGAAGCTATCAAAACTGACCTAGATCTTAGTATTATCAATGAGTGTAGTTTTACAGAAGGAAATGATAGTCATACTGAGGAAGCAAGATCTGCTGAAAACTGTGTAGAACTTCCTGCTGAAATAGATCCATCTAATGCGGCATGTGAAAAAGAAAATGATGAAATTGAAAATAGTACAGTGGCCCCTGTTCAATCAACAATGTTATCTACTGAATCAATAACAATATCTGCAGAATCAACAACTTCTCCTTCTGAAAAAATAACTTCATCTACTGAATCAACAATGTCAGTTGCTGAGTCAACAACACCCCCAAAAGACTCTAAAACTGTTGAAAGGAAATCAACCACACCCAAGAAATCACCTAGGTTTAGATCAAATATTGACTCGGAAACAGTCATTGATGACAGTACTAAAGATCGAGATGTAGATTCTGTTTTACCAGACCAAAAAGAAGGCTTTGCAAATGAGCAGTTGACTGAGTTGAACCTGAGTCAATCCAAAATCGATGATGAAATAAAATCACCAAAGAGGTCACTAGTTACACCCAAAAAAAGTTCACCAGAACAGGCGTCACCTAGAAAGTCTCCAAGGCTTCAGACTAAGAAAAATAATGAAATCAAAGCAAATGACAAAACGCTCGATAATGATGAGATTATTGGCAATATGAAAAAAATTGAATCTGCTGACGATAAAATCCGATCTTCATTAACTAATAAAGAAAGCTCTCGATCTTTAGAAAAAAATATGGGTGTTCTAAAGAAGAAAGACTCTGAAGGTTCCCTTCAAGAAGTGTCAAACTTCGAAAATGATTCAGTGTTTTCTCCAAGAACCACAAATTCCAAAGAAGTTTCAGGAAGAAACTCTGTTACATACATCAGTACAGGATCAGAAGGTTCATTTCAATTGCATCTATCTAATAGCAGATTGGACTCTTCTCTAGGAGAAACTGAAGATGGGGGTGAGTTGAATATTTCAAAAACTAGTAACAGCAGTGATAAAGAAAATACTGCAGTCAATATTGTTAACGATTCAAGTAACTCTAAAAATTCACTAACATCTGAGAAGAAAATTCTAGGAGTTTCAACTGTTTTAAGCGAGAAACAAACTGTAGCCAGAGTTTCTAATGTGTTTCAACCTAAAAATTTGGATTACAGCTATATGGAGCCTATGGATGTAGACAAGACATCAGTGGACTTGGAGTCAACAACTTTTGAAAAATTTGATCAATCACTAGGTCCTAAAGATTTGACAGATGATTCATTCAATGAAAGCTCTAAATTGAATACTAGCCTGCCTTTTGTAGAATCGTCCAAAGTTATTGAAAGAGTTGAGATTACTGAAACTGTTGAAGCCAAGGTTGATGTTAGTGATGCAGATCTTACAACCGATGAACTTACTACCAAAGAATCCAATATGGATATTTCCAAGGCATCTTGTGATACACTTCCGGTAGAATCTGAAGAAGCTTCAAGCACTAGTGATCCCCTAACTAACTTGATTGCAAACAATGAAAATGAGCTGGTCATGAACAATTCGAATGGAGATAAACCCACCATGCTTGAAGAATCTATAAGTACACCTGCAGAGCAGGGTTCTTTAAAAGTAGTTGAGAAAGAGTCAAGTGATGTGGTATTATCAGAAAAAACACCTTCGTCCCCTGATTATGAATTTCAACTTCCCTCTGATGATGAAATTGAAAATACCCAATTACCTCAAAATTGTTCTGAAGTTGATAATAAGTCTCCAAGAAATTCTGAATCAGAGATGGATCCTTCGAGAACAGAAAAGGTGTTGCAAAAAGAAACGGAAACCGAAAAATTTGTAGAAGTTATTGGAGACAAGGCATTGGAATCCTCTAACGAAGAAAACATTAGTAAATTACCTTCTAGTCATAATGAACAGTCTTCAACAACTTCTGACTTGCATGAATCCAAAGGACAATCAGATGAGCAAAAGGAACAAGGCACAATAGAAGAAATGCAAAGTCAGGTTATTGGAGACAAGGCAGTGGAATCTTCTAACGAAGAAAACATTAGTGAATTATCTTCCAGTCATATGGACCAGTCTTCAACAACTTCTGAGTTGCATGAATCCAAAGGACAATCAGATAAGTCAAAGGAACAAGACACAATAGAAGAAATGCCAAATCATGTTGAAAGTACTGAAAGTGAAAAATCCTTTGGCAATGCCAGTAATCAATCAGATATGAAAATCAATAAGTCGAAACTAGTAAATGAACAAATTAAAGAAGATGAGACGCATCAAATAAATAATGTAGATGAAACTAATATTGTTCTTGTCGATGATAACACCAAAGAAGATGAAACTTATATAAGAAAGGTTGATCAAAAGACGGAATCAGATGATGAACCAAATGGTGGACAGGATACCATAGCTAAAATTGCAGATCTCACAACAACTGATGCGGGAGAAATGAGTGAAAATAGAATACTAGAAGGAGATATTGAAGTTGAAGGAATGGTTGAAAATGAACCTGAATTTATTAAATCTGAACCAGTCATGTCAGATACCAAAAGTCCATCTAAGATTAAAGACAGTACTACTGAAAAACAATCAGACAAGTCCCGTGAATTCGAATGCTTCAGTGGAAGTGTTGAAGAAAGTGAAATATTGAATACTGATGAGGAAGTTGCAAAGCATGTGTTAATAAGGAAAAATAAAGAGTCAGTAATTACAGAAAGTTTGAATGAAATTTCCTTTAGTACTGAAAATAAAGTTACCGAAATTGACCTTACAAACAATGAAGAAAATGTTACCGAAAAGGACTGCTCTGAAGAAATAAGAAAAGAATCCGAATCTGTTCCATCTCTTTCTACAAGCGACAAGGAAAAAACTAAAATATCTGTAAATACAGAAGTGAGCGAACCAGATTTCAAAGCTGCATTGGTAGAGCGACCTCCAGTTGAAACTGAAACTCCCACAAAATTAAAAAAGCTCAAGAAGAACAAGAAATCTAGGGAATCAAAAGGAAATGTGTCAGATATGGAACCAGAACCAAATGAGGTATTGGTAGAACAACAGTCAATCATAACTGATACACCGAAAAAGAGGAAAGGAGACAAAATTGATGCTGACGTCGAAGATGAGTCAGAAGAAATTGAAAATGGCAATGGTAACCTTCAGACATTAGATGCTTCCATCAATACCTTACTCGAAGAAGCAAAAAAGAAAATTAAAATTGATACAGAGGCGATTGCTGAAATGATGGCCAGTGCAGTCCAAATAATATCAAAAGATAATGAAAGTTCCTCAAAGGAAGAATTGGTTGCTAAGTCAAAGTTATCTGAGACTAAGAAAAAAGATAATGAAGTAGATGATACAATTGAAACTGAAACAACTAAGTGCAGTATTAAGAAATTATCAAAAAAAGCAAAGAAAAAAGCACTGGCTGTAGATTTAGCAAACGATTTAAGTGATTCAAAATTCAATGTAGATGAACATACCCATAACAGTTCAGAAAACTCAATCAAGTCCCTGAGAACAACCAAGAAGTGTAAAAGATCTAAACAAAGAAAAGAACATGAAACTGCATCTGATGCCAAAACAAAAGATCTTGTAGAGACTAAAAAGACCCCACAAAGTTCCTTGAATGAAGATGATTCAGAAGAAATTGAAAATAAAAAACTAGATTCTGAAAATTCAGAAACTGAAAAAGACATCTTGGAAGGATATTCAAACCCCAAATTGGACGAATTTTTATCAAAAATGAGTTCAAATTTGAAAGAAGAAAATGAAAGTGAAGAAGATGAAAACGAAGATGAAAATGAAGAAGAGGATGAAAGTGAAGAAAATAGCTTTTTCTTAACCATGGCAGAAGAAGGCGAGGAAGACACACCTTCTGATGACAGTAATGATATAATTGATGAGGGGGAATCTATAAATACTACAGAATCAGAACGTGAAACTGACGATGACTATGATGAAAATGATTCTTTTATTTGTGATGAAGATATAATCGACCTACTGTCTGGAGACGAGTATGATTTGGGAAATGAGAAAACCAAAAAAAAACCCAAGTCTCGCATCATCAATGTTGAACATTGTGACAGTGAAGTCATCAAAATTCAGCGTAAAGAAAAACCCGAGAAACCAAAGAGGAAATCTAGAATAATTTCAGTTGAGAGTTCTAGTGAAGATGATCAAGAAGTTATTCAGTCTTTGGACAATAAGGCTACCAGGGAGGTGAAAGATGAAGAATGTGTTGATAAATCCATTAATAAAAGGAAATCTTCTATCACTATTATTGAAAATATTAATGTCAATGACATCAAGGATACTGTTTTGAGTCAGAGAATACACCACTTGGTTGACAGTTTTTGCACAACCATCCCTAATAAAGCCGATATTTCCATGAATCTTTCTCTGGAGTATGCCGGAGATGAAGAGAAAGAGATTTCAGGGAAAAAACAAAAGGAAAAGTTGGCTGAACCTTCAACCGAACCAAAGGAAGAAAAATCACCCCAACTTTCATCAGAGGCAAAGAAAGTGAAATCGCCTCAGGAAACAACCCTTAAAGAAAAGAAAAATAACAAGAGAAGCAGTAATTCTAAAAACCAATGTACAGTATTGACAAAGAAACCAAGGCTGAGTGTTAGCCTCACCGATACTAATGATTTGGATGAAGATACAGTGAAGAAGCGAAAGCGCTTTAGTAAAAGTCTTGATGATGAACTCAATGTGAACAAAAGTAAGAAAAAAAGTAAAACTGAAAAAAAGGAAAAAGCTTCGCAAGTTCGAGACAAACGAAGATCTTCATTATCTGGAGATGATCTTAAACAGTCTTTCAATCTTCTCAACCAGCTTATCACTGATGTTAAGAATAGACCAAGAAGGATTGTTAAACCAAGCACTAGTAAGGTGGATACAGATAATGATCCTTGGATAGTTGATATTGTGAATGTCAAACCTTCGACAAGCATTGTTAGCGAGACGGAAATTGATAATTATAAAAAGAAAAAGGTACACCCGAAAGATTTCAGACATCAAATGTTGTATGATTCCTCCCGAGTGAGAAGAATTGAAACTAAAAAACTATTGAAGAAGAAAGGTGTCTACAATTGAACTTTATATTTTCATAATGTCTTTTATTTAATTATATAAACTTTTGTTTTTATATCGCTAAGGCTGATGAACGTTATTTTTGTACTGTATTTGTTCTGTTTATTAATACTTGATACATTTTATTTATTGTTTTCTTTGTGTTAGTGAAAAATTTTGTTATCCACAGTTCTGTAAATTCATTTCAAAATATTTCAAAGAAAAAATATGGAAAATTAACAACATTATCGGTAGGGCGTTAGCCCGTCGGGTTAAAGTGGATGCTTTGCTCCACTCACTCATTCGTCCACACTATCGTCCAACCAGTGTTAGAATAGAAATCACACGTTAAAAGGTAAGTCCTCGTTAGTCCTTGGCTTGCACAAGTTTCGACTTTTGAGAAATGTCGTTCGTATTGAAAAACCGATTTTAACAGATTATTGGAAGAATGTATACCATACGGTACTTTTCTATTCAACAAGTCGTCTTTTTTTGTATAGGAAATCAGAGTTCTATGCATCTTTTTGGGAATTACCACCCACCACAATCTGAAAAATGAATATTTTAATGTAGAACTTTAACAGATGTAGAACGTAAACTGGAATAGAAAATTTTAACACTACGTGATGATGATCATAGTCTTGGGAACTTTATGTTGAGTCTTCACGAACGTACTTGTTGATACAACTCTCAAAATTATGTTTCTAAATTTTAAAACATTCTTTATTCTATCATTTATTGCCGTGTTCCGCAAAGAAAACTGCAAAAAGAGATTTCCATGCTAGCACTCACCAAAGATTATATTATTAAAACTGTTCAATTAAAACAGGAAATAACGCTATGCCTAATACAATCACTCTTAGTGATCGTACTGCTGCTAATGGGATCGATATTGTCAACCTTTTGCTCCCGTCTATTCTTATAATACTTATATCCAGGGTTAACGTGTAATAATCACATTGAAATCTCGAAAATCTATAAAAAACAGTCTGAACTTCGGTCCTGATGGAATTCCACTTTCTTTTCTTAAAGCATTTAACTTTATTTCATTTCGCTCACTATATTCATTATCATCAGACAAATTTCTGGACTACTGGAAAACCTCATCTGTTATCCCTATATATAAATCCAAGTGCACTTGTAACTGAAAAGGAAGAAAGAAGTCAGTGATGAGACTTGAGAGTCAGATAGATTACGACCCCGTCGTCGGGTTATACAACTCCAGTTTCAAGTGGTTCTTGAAAATAGCTTCAAAGCAGAATCCGAAACGTCGGCTTCTGCTTTGAAACCGTAATCCATGAAGGCACTCCCTGTAGTTTCGTCATTTTTGAAAGCAGAGATTTGATTTTTGGTACAGGCCTCGTCCGCTGGGAGTGGAATACTGCGATAACTTGAGAAGTCAATTCGCCAGAACTCGCACGAAAATTACGTTGTGCTTCCAGCAGTGGTGGTTTGTAGAAGCACCAGTAATGAGTGAAACACACTTTGAATGACTGACTACTTGAACTCAACACAAATAAAAGTTATTCTCACCGTACTATAAGTTTTATTCGAATAGAAAGCTGTGAGCTTGGAATTACAACACAAATGTTTATACCGAGTGTTCCATCTCAGACGAGCCACCCCATTTATTTCTTATTCCATAGTGAGTGGTAAAATTTCCCGAAACATGATTTTGTTTGGGGGACATCTTTTGACGTATATTTTAGGCTTGAACGAGCAACCCCCTAATAGGGGGCTCTTCAACCCCTCAAACTTGAATAGGGGAGAGGGGTTGAGTGATACTTTATTTGAAAGGTCTTGAAAGCCTCTTTTCAACGGTGTATGAGAAACGTAAATTTGATGAACCGTTTTCGCCAAAAATCTATTTTGCAGCTCGAATGAGCCACTTTGAATAATTTGGTTATTTTTACAATGTAGAAGCCCATTTTTATTAAGCCCTTATTACAAACTCAATTGTCAAAAAATTACATTCTTGAAAAATTTAATTGTGTCCAATGTTCAAATTGTTCTCCATTGACTTCCATACAATAATACTTTCTCTCAAACTAATGAATAAAAAAACAGCAAAACGTTTCCTAATCTTGCCTCAATTTTTTTGTGCTTAGGTTATCTGGTTGTAACGTTTCTTCTCGATCATTTCAGAATTGAAATCAATCTGTTATTACTTTGCTGATTTATTTAAAATTTCAAAAAATATGGTGTACACATTGCAAGAACGTGTTGAACTGGTTAGCCTTATTACCAAAAACAAAATTGTGCCCGAGCGGCTGCAAGGATATTTAACCAAAACCATCCTGAACGTAACGTTCGTCATAAGTACGTACTGGAATTGAATTCAAAATTTGTGGAGACTGGTTCAGTAATGGCACCCATTGGAATTGTGAATGATGAAGGAGCAGCTGTGGCGGTATTAGGACATGTCCAACTTATGCCAAACACGCAATCTGTACAACTTTCTGCTGTTTCCGGTATTAGTCAATCTAACGTTTTCAGAATTTTACATAGACACGAATTCCATCCGTACAAAATTAAATTAATTCATGAATTGAATGATGATGATTGGGATCGAAGGCAAGAGTTTTGCGAAATTATGGCCGAGCGTATCAACAATAACCCAAATTTCTTGTACAACGTTTACTTTTCTGACGAATGCACTTTTTTACTTAATGGAGAGGTTAACCGGCATAACTGTAAAATTTGGAGCGATTCAAATCCTCGTGTATTTCGAGAAGCTCACACTCAACATCCAGAATAGCTAAACGTTTGGGTAGGAATTTTGGGAGACCACCTAATTGGACCTCTGTTTATTCCTGGGAATTTAACTGGCGAACGTTATCTTGAAATGTTGGAAAATGCGATTGATCCGTTAATAACTGAACAATTAGAAAACGATCCCCTACTACTTGAAGAACAATTGCATTTCCAACAAGACGGAGCTCCTCCGCACCAGTTCGCCAATACCTCAATTTGCAATACCCCGGTCTTTGGATTGGAAGAAGAGGTACTATGGAGTGGCCTGCCCGATCTCCTGACTTGAACCATCTGGACTTCTTTTTGTGGGGACATCTCAAGTCCAAGATTTCTGTGACTCGCCCTGAAAATTTGGACGAACTACGCCAAAGAATTGTGAATGAGTGTCGTCAAATAACTTCAATTATGCTGAACCATGTCAGAGACGATTTTCAGTCAAGATTGTATTATTGTATGGAAGTCAATGGATGACAATTTGAACATTTGATTTAAACACGCCACGGGGTGGCTCGTCTGAGATGGAACACCCTATATATTAAAGCTATGACATTGTCAAAGGCATATAGATTAAATACGAGAAAAACTCTTATTAATCTTAGATAATTCTCGGATAAAATTCATAATCATCAAAGATATTTCCCGGCTACAATGCTTACAGGTTTTCGTCTAGGAAACCAACAAAACAAATTATAAAATGCAATTATTCATTAAAAAAGATAATAATCGAGAAAAAATGGATGTCAGCAAATACCGGTTCTTTTCTGTTATTCATTGTGAAAGATTAGGTTCGAGAAAAAAGAAATGTCAGCAATTGCCGGTTCTTATCTTCTGATGTATCCGAAATAAACAAAGTAGTTCAGGGTTGGCTTGAGGAACACGTAACTCGAACGATCCAAATACATGGATCGGTAGGGGACCGCGTCCACTAGGCCCGTATCGTTCGTCAGTTTTCGTCCGAATTGCGAACCGATCCCGTTCTGCTTGGATTTGATTGCGATCTAGTGCAAAAATAGTTACAATTGTATCAAAATGTGTTGTTTCTCATTCGAAAATAAAAAAAGTGGTGGTCATCGTCGATTTGATGACCATGCCACAAATGAGAAAATTCACCGAACTAACTTATCAAAGGTGATAACGCCAAAGCGAAAAATTCTTCATCAGATTAATAAAAAAAACCGTTTCAAAGAACCATCTCGCCTACTACGAATACTGAGGCAATGGACGATGTGCATCGCACGATTTCGTACGATCGGCGTTCGCATGAATTTGTTGCTTCGCAGTTCTTTGCTCCTATAACCAATAATGATTGAGAGTAAAGCGCGTTGTCATATCTAAATTTTACGTTACCAGTTTATAGCAGAATCAAAATATAATGAGCAGTAGAGTTGTAGGTTGTGGCAAATTATAGATAATACACAATACTAGTACGATTAAAAGGTATTATTTATGACAAAAATCAGTAATGAGCTTGTAATGAGTAATACTTATACATTTCCTGATTACAGAGTGGTTAAAATTCATTATTTTCTGTATAGTGTTAGATATTTATTACAACTAGTGGCAACGCTGTACGCAACGATATTTCTGTCTTTGTCACTTTACCGTAGCTTCCATCTCATCGTTGCAGTCCTCGCTAATGTACTTGCAGCCATGAGCGTATCATTGGTTTGTGAATTATACAACGTGAATTGTACGTTTTACAGTTAAGTTAGTCAGCAATCGACGTGTTGTGATAACAATTGGTGAAAATAATAGTGCTAATAAGTGTTTAAGCGTTACATAATTATATTTCTACACCGTTCTCAAACTACTCAAAAAATGGGAGACATATGGTCGGGCCTTCCACGTCGAAAAAGGTAAAACGGTAGGAGTCTCGGTCAGTAAGAGAAAAACAAATTGTACTGCGAGTATTTCACTGTCTTGAAAGAGATCATCAGCCACCAAAAGATGGCTTTGTGCATATGTGCTGTAATTCTACGTGTGTACCTCCGAATAACCAACCGGGCATTTCTACATCATTAAGTTCCACAATTACAAAAGATAAATTAGTTGATATGTGCTCTGATTATACCGGTGTACCAAAATCATCGATTTACAAAATACTAAGAGAAGCAGAAATTCATGGGGACGTATAAACGCCAAAAACTAGTAGCGGACGAAAAAAAATCATAGTTGATGAAGAAGCCAAAACCATTATACGCAGAACTATTCATAGTTTCTTTTTCAGAAATAAGCTGCCCACACTACAAACAGTTCTGGAGGCACTTAGCGATCATGAATTGGTCCCAAAAATAGGTAAAGAAACTTTTAGGAAACTTGTACACGAAATGAAATTTACGTACGGAAAAGTTGACAGGAAAAGCATTCTCATTGAACGTCAAGAAATAATAGCATGGAGAAGAAACTATCTAAGAAAAATTGACGAATTTCGGAAGCTCAAAAAAATTGTAAGGTTAGGTGGGGTAAGTGCACCCCCATTTTCGATAAATTGAAGTTTTTGGTTATCTCCAAAATTAGTAAAAATTAAGATCAAATTCTCACTATGATTTTATAAGTACCTGATACCTTTGCAAATATATCAGAGTATTTGGGAAGCAAAATATTTCAATTTGGTTAAAATATTTGAGTTTTTTTAAAACAATGTGTAGGTATGCTCTTACCCCATTGAATTGGGACAAGTACATACTTTTGTGCGATTAATGACTGCATTCTTATTATAGGATTTTGTGGATAAGTGCGTTTTATTCCATTTTTTACGAACATTTTTATATAAGGAAGATTGAATTTGGATAATTTTTAAGGGAGTTACAAGCTTTTTTGGATAAGATGTCGGTAAAGTGAAAAGTCAGAAGATGTTAAATTTTATGCCAGAAATTTTTATTTGGCTTTAAACAACTTAAAACTTGAACAAATCAACACGAATGATCTTCCTGAACTAACATAAGAAAATGATAACCTCTAATGAGAAATTATACTTTTTGGCACGCAGTCACATCAAATTTTTGATTCCACTGAACTTTATTGAAAAAATAAGTCTTCCACGTCGATCAGTTGTGGGTTGAGGCAGAATTCTAACGATGTTTTCCTCTGCGATTGTATCAATGTCTTCTCCTTGAGGCCATATAAATACCCCGTTGTATGACCTGAGAAATTTTATCGTCCATTCTTCCCCAGCTTTTTCAATGATTTGTCCAATATAATGTCTTTGTGTTTCTTAGTATTATATTGTACTAGCACCCATTTACCTATTGCTAAGAAACAGTCTTGCTCCTCGTCAGAAACATCAGAAAAGACTTCCGCATCCAGATCGTCCTCGGAATCAATATAATCTATGGAGGCGTCATCAGATTCGCTTGTTTCAGGTGCTACCTCGGTTTTCTTTTTACATGACTTCTTTGCCACCTCTTCTATTTTTGTTTTAGCCTGTTTGGAGGTAATGATTTCTGAACCGGGGGCGATACGCTTACGTTTAGTGATCGGGTCTTTTTTGGATTGTTTGATAGTTTCCAACAACAGCTGCTCAAATGAAACGTTTGGTGGTTGATAAACTTTGCCGTTTGGAAGATTTGGCTCTGCAGAAGTACTCGCTACAGGCTCAATATTTTCTACTTGAGGAGGGGTTTCTTGAGTTGTTTCTTGTTGCGTTTCTTGAGGTGTTTCCTCCTGCGTTTCTTGAGGTGTTTCCTCCTGCGTCCTCTTCCAACGTTTAAGGCTTTCGGGATCAAACACGTTTTCAGATATCACGTTCGGATTGTACGGGAAAATACCTGCCTTTTTAAAACCATTTGAGATTGTTTCCGTAAGGAGTTCTAGCCATGAGCTTTGGACCATGGTGGAAAATGTAGCCTTTGGTACCTTAACACCTATATTGTGTCTCTGCCATGTAACTAATTTTGCGTCCCATTTATCTTTCAAAGGTTTAAACACTGATAGATCTAGCGGTTGTAATAAATG